GGATATAATCTGGAGACCACGACACGAGTAAATTTATAACAGATCTAGAAAAGACTTTATTTGTAATGTCTTCAACAAACCAGCAGGTGGCAGTAAGAGGCCATTTTTCAAACGCTGTGTCTACACACTGTATACAAAGCAGGTCAAGCTGGTTATTATGTGCCCCACTCAGGTCATGTTTAACTCAGCGAGTGGCATTCAATTTTCCTCTCAAAAATAATTTGAGCTTTTTAATCTAGCCTACATCTATGCATCACAACTTTACCTGCAGTACCTTTACGATGCACACGGCTGGCCATCATCCTTGTACAATGAAACTGCTCAGTCTTATCTTTGTTTGCTTTTCTTGTTTACTCTGACCTGGGCCCTGCGCCATGATGGTGGCTTATTAATGCAGCCTCCTCATCTACAGGATCCCTTATAAAAAGACATGCCACTTTTGTCACATTTACCGTGTCTGCATGATGAAAATTAAAGTGGTCCGGTGAGAAAAATGATTTTGTTTCCATTTTCATTGAGATTATTTTTCTTACCCCGCTGGTCAAATTAATGACTTATTAAGTCATCTGATAGCTTTATGTGAGGAAAGGCTGAAATTTAAGTAGCTGTTCAGTTAAAATCTTGACATCCCCCTAGATCTGAATTCATCAAAGTTCACAAAAGAAACATTGATTTTTCTTTTGAGTCAATGAATCTTTGACAGGGACAGTTTGGGTTTGTAGTTATTGATAAAGTTATATTTCCCATTAATTGTTAAATACAAGTTTTATTACAGATATTGCAGTATAAAAAGACTTGTGCAAAATATTTCTAGAATAAATCTTCTGAAGCAATATGTGAGAAACAGACTGAGGTTTGTCATTATTCCTTGAAAATCCTCAAAAAGCTACTTTGCACAAAATATATTGTACTATAACTCTGCTCAGAATTTGCGTATAAAAATGGCTTTTTCATGATGGATATAATCTGGAGACCACGACACGAGTAAATTTATAACAGATCTAGAAAAGACTTTATTTGTAATGTCTTCAACAAACCAGCAGGTGGCAGTAAGAGGCCATTTTTCAAACGCTGTGTCTCCACACTGTATACAAAGCAGGTCAAGCTGGTTATTATGTGCCACACTCAGGTCATGTTTAACTCAGCGAGTGGCATTCAATTTTCCTCTCAAAAATAATTTGAGTTTTTTAATCTAGCCTACATCTATGCATCACAACTTTGCCTGCAGTACCTTTACGATGCACACGGCTGGCCATCATCCTTGTACAATGAAACTGCTCAGTCTTATCTTTGTTTGCTTTTCTTGTTTACTCTGACCTGGGCCCTGCGCCATGATGGTGGCTTAACAAACTCAGGGTTACAGGATCAGTTTTGAGTTGACAAAACCAAACCAATCCAATGTGTTTGGTTTAATAATCGATTAAATGAAATCCTCTCCTGTAAATGTAACTCCCCGCGAATTAATGCAGCCTCCTCATCTACAGGATCCCTTACAAAAAGACATGCCACTTTTGTCACATTTACCGTGTCTGCATGATGAAAATTAAAGTGGTCCGGTGAGAAAAATGATTTTGTTTCCATTTTCATTGAGATTATTTTTCTTACCCCGCTGGCAAATAATTTGACTTGTTTACCCCAGGAAACAAGACTAAATATCATACATATTTTTTCTTATATAAAAAATACATCATGATTTAAGAATTTTTAGATATTTGTACTTGAAATAAGGCAAAAATCTCAGCAATAAAAGCAATTTTTGCAGCGTGAATGAATGAATGGGGTATTTAAATATTTCTTATGCTTTAAAAAGGGAGAGGAGACCAAAAGAAACTCTGGGTTTACAGAAGAAAGCCTGCTCCCGACCAGGTTAGGTTGACAGGGTAAGTTACTATGGTACGAGAGGTTTAGTTTAGTCTTTTACTGGAACCGAAAACCCTGAGTTTCCCTTTTCTGGGGTTAACAAACTCTGAGTTTCCAACAAAACCCACTTTCTGGA